GGGTTCCAAGGCGATTTCTGGGTTTATCTAAATATTTGAGCTTTTTTTCTTGTCCTGTGTGGTGGTTGTATGCAAAATCAAATGGAGTGGGATAGTGATTCCGATCTAAGCGGCGAAGATGAAGTAGCAGATGATGGATGGTTCGGCGGAGATAACGGACCGATTCCTTTTCCGGTGAGTAGTCTTCCCGGAACAGCACCGTGTGGTTTTGTGGTCAGCGATGCTCTTGAGCCTGACCAACCTATCATTTATGTAAACACCGTCTTTGAGATTGTTACTGGGTATCGAGCTGAGGAAGTTATTGGTAGAAATTGGTGAGTTTGATGCTCCTTCTTTAACCCTAATTGTTCGATGATTTTGCTACTCAAGGAATCTTTAACCCTTTTGTGGTATTGATACCAAGTAACAAGAGAGCTGAAAAATTGAATTTTGATTCAATTTGATATGGTTCTTGTTGATTATATTGACATATTCGTTTGGTATATGTAGCTAGAAACATTTGAATCATTGATATGTAGTTTGATCTTTGTTCGAATTTACTGTATTATGAAGAGGGTTTTGTATCTGAGTTGATTTGTTACTTTTTTTCTTTTGGCAGTCGGTTTTTGCAGTGTAGAGGGCCATATGCTAAAAGAAGGCATTCATTGGTAGATTCTACGGTTGTAGCAAAGATGCGTCAATGTCTTGAGAACGGCCTCGAGTTTCAAGGCGAGTTGTTGAACTTCCGGAAAGATGGGTCTCCTTTGATGAACAAGCTGCGTCTAGTCCCTATCCGTGAAGAAGACGAAATCACTCATTTCATAGGTGTTCTATTCTTCACAGACGCAAAGATTGATCTTGGCCCATCTCCTGGTTTGTTTGCAAACGAAATCCCAAGAACATCTCGCTCATTTTCATCTGCTTTACCAATTGGAGAGCGTAATGTTTCTCGTGTGCTCTGTGGGATATTTGAGCTGAGCGATGAGGTTATAGCTCTCAAGATATTGTCACAGTTGACTCCTCGTGATATTGCATCGGTTGGTTGTGTGTGTCAGCGGCTCAATGAGTTGACAAAGAATGATGATGTATGGAGAATGGTCTGTCAAAACACATGGGGGACCGAGGCAACACGAGTTCTCGAGAGTGTTCCTGGTGCAAAGAGGATCGGTTGGGTGCGACTGGCTCGAGAGTTTACCACTCATGAAGCAACGGCGTGGAGGAAGTTTTCGGTTGGAGGTACTGTTGAGCCTTCCCGGTGTAATTTTAGCGCATGTGCGGTTGGGAACAAGATTGTTATCTTTGGCGGGGAAGGTGTGAATATGCAACCGATGAATGATACATTTGTGTTGGACCTAGGCTCGAGTTGTCCCGAGTGGAAATCCGTTCTGGTTAGCTCTCCTCCTCCGGGTCGCTGGGGTCACACGCTTTCTTGTGTCAACGGATCCCGGTTAGTAGTTTTTGGAGGTTACGGGAGCCACGGATTACTCAACGATGTCTTCTTATTAGACCTTGAAGCAGACCCACCAACATGGAAAGAAGTATCCGGTTTGGCCCCTCCAATACCAAGATCGTGGCACAGCTCATGCACACTCGATGGAACCAAGCTGATTGTATCCGGTGGTTGTGCTGATTCCGGAGCTCTACTCAGCGATACATTCCTGCTTGACATGTCAATGGATATACCAACTTGGAGGGAGATACCGGTTCCATGGTCTCCTCCATCTCGCCTCGGACACACTCTAACCGTCTATGGTGACCGCAAGATCCTCATGTTTGGTGGTCTTGCGAAATCCGGTTCTCTCAGATTCCGCTCTAACGATGTATACACGATGGATCTTAGCGAAGATGAACCGTGTTGGAGACCTGTGATTGGGTATGGATCTAGCCTTCCGGGAGGCATGGCAGCTCCACCACCGAGGCTAGATCATGTTGCGATAAGCCTTCCCGGGGGTAGAATATTGATCTTTGGTGGTTCGGTTGCAGGGCTTGACTCGGCTTCTCAGCTTTATCTTCTTGATCCAACAGAGGAGCAACCAGCATGGAGAATATTGAATGTTAAGGGAAGCCCACCGCGGTTTGCCTGGGGACACACAACTTGTGTGGTCGGAGGAACTCGGTTGGTCGTCTTAGGTGGGCAAACCGGAGAAGAGTGGATGCTAAATGAAGCTCATGAACTGTTATTAGCTACCTCTACTACTACAATCACCTCATCAAGACATGCAGAGAAGAGAGTGTTTTGATCAAAATGGGAACTCAAAAGCATTGCTATGTATATGGTGAGTTTGATATGTTCATGTTTTGTTAACCTGTTGAATTAATGGTTAGTTTGTATATTCAATACATTACGATTTGGATTTGGATATTCCTTCTTGTGGAGTGAATGTTTTTGTAGGTGACCGAATGATCCAAAATCAAACTTATATAATTTGTAGTATTACATTTTCGGTAAACAGATACTATAAAATACGGAGGGAAGTAGTATTTATTATACGCAATATTTTCCACCAATCAATACAATTTTGTGATTATTGCAATCAATATGCAAATACTTTTTGTGCCGACATATAAAAGAAACAAAAAAAAAGACTATTTTGTGTTCTACATTCAATTTTTTTTTTTTTTTTGGGTACAGCTTTCACAC